CTATGTCGTATTCACCAATGATCACTTTTAAGTAACGGTCTATGTTTGCGTTCTGTATCACTCGAAGCCTGACGTGTTTACGTTGTTCGAAGTTAGAATGCGAGGGAAAATTCATTTCAATTCCCATTACCACAGAAATATTACTTTGTCGATGAAGATACGAAATTACATGCTTTCTCATAATTTATTAGAGGACGTCTCGACTTTCTCGTAATTTAATTAGGACGATGCAACGAGGAAAGGAAAGAATATCCGACCCTATTTTGAATTCGCTACGGAAATAAATTATTTTTGAAATTCTAATTCGTCGCCGTTCGTTGTATTCGCCCGATATACTGATAAATTCTCGCTCGAAACTTGCTTCTGCGTCGCCACCCCTTCATTGGCGTGCGACAGAAATTTCACAAATTCTATTACTATAGCAAAAATTCATACTCGAACAATATGCTTGCGATCGTCGAGGAATCGTCGAATCAGCAGAATCACCGGGCCAACTCCAATTATCTCGCGTTCTCGTTGCCGAAAGAGAGAGAGAGAGAGAGAGAGAGAGACTCTTGTTGTTGCGCCAGTGCGATATATTACGCGATTCCGCCTGGAAGAAAATACTTTCGCCCATATTTCACGTCGGACGTCGATAGGTGTGCCGTGACTATCCACAGTGACAGACACGACCGGTCGACTATTGTGCTCGCTTTGAGAACCCCGCTGATAACACCGACGATATCGTTGCTCCCTGTTACACCGTCTTGCGCAACATTCCGCCGCGGGATCTGTAGATCCTGAGCGTTTGAACTGCCGACTTTCGAGCCGCGACAGCCCGATGAGCAACAACTTGCCTTCCAAGCTGCAGCTGAGAAATAAAAGGAAAGTACAACAGCTCGTTTAGGGTAAAAAAACCGGCTACCTGATGTATCTAGCTTCGTGACAAAAGGAAAACAGAAAACTCGCGCAAGGTTAAAATCTCTAAATCTCTTGATTAGGTTAAACCTCACGCAATGAGAAAGTGATCGAAGTTTTTCGGAAGAAATTATTATAATACAGTTATAAAGTTTTTAGTTTGAGAAAATAGTAGAAACAATTATTTTTTAACAATTTCGACAAATATAAAGTTATTCTATACTTTGTGACCTGTCTTGTAAAAAAATTATGTTCATTACTAGTTTAGGTTAGGTTTCGAAACCTAACCTAAACCTTTGACGTTTGAATTATTTTAACATGTACAATATACAACATATAAATATATGCATCTTAATTAATAATAAATTAATAATTAATAAAATATTCGTCGTCCTCTTCATTTATACCTGTATATCTACAAGATATATAGAAAGCGAAAAGTCAAAATACTATAGAATACAAATATTAGAAATGGATTCCCGAATGTGAAAAAAATAATCACTTCGTTCGCAAATGACGTTGAAACGTTTCAAGCAGAAATTTCCAACTCTGCACGGAACACTACGACGTTGTTTGCTCTGAAACTTGTCACATAAGGTTGTGGAATCCACTCGAATATCATAGTTCAGTTACATGCTAAAGCTTACATACTAAATTTTAGAAAAACAATGGTATCCGGTTTGACACGCGCATTCGGTTTTATCCTACTTTCCTCTACTTGGAATATTCTTTATTAATAGCGTGTAGAGTCATCATTGACCTTCGATGCAGCTGCAATTCTTCTCGAAATAGAATCGTACAAGTCTCAAGAATGATATTTAATGAGATATTATGCTGTATTCTTCGTATAATGCCTTCTCAAGCTGTTTTAATGAAACCAGAGAGGTGAATCTGTTTCTAATTCTGTTTTCGAGAATAGACTATATATTCAACCTGATAGATCATATATTCATATATTTCAAGAATAAACTCAATGATGTTCAAAATCATGATTTGATTGCTCAAAATGTTCAGACAGTCGTTGGATTCGAGACGATACGTAATCTCAGTTGGAGCTCAGTTCAAGGCGAACCAACCGGGATATACGCGTTTTATACAAAGTGTTTCCATTATTTTGTCTATCTACAGATGGCGTAATAGTCAAAGAAGAAAGAAATGTCTTAAAACAGCCCGTCTCGCCGATCCTACTTCGTCCGCGAACTTTGGTTCACGGTTCATGCAGCAACCTCGTGAGCAGAAGCGAGCAATCGCTCTAAACCGGATTGATGGTCGCGTGAACCTCAATCGCCTGCCACGCGCCTGCTCTTTTTTCCCCCCTCCTGGCCCCCTCGATGTGAAACGAAGCTCGCCTTGTCTATTGACATTCACGCGCAATGCTCTCCGACTTCTCTCTGTGTTTCGACAACAATAATGACTCGCGGTTGCAACGAGCTGTGCACAATCGCTACCGATACACTGGATTCGGTTTTGTCAGAACGCATCGATCGATGCATCGTTGAACTTGCGCAACGTGCGTGACCAGAGACGTTGGTTGAATCACGAAGATCGACTCACGAGGAGATTACATCTCAACTGTTGACCGTGCACGCGGAAGAAATAGAAATCTTTTCATCGATTTTCACGGCCGTGGGTGGCCGCCTGCGTCACGACAATTAACCGACGATCTCGATCTCTCGTATCGGTAGTGCGAGCCAGCGTGCAACGGCTAGATAAACATAATCGTACTGGGTAAGAAGGTTGCCCGGTTATTGCTGTTGATTACCAGGTGCTCGTCGAATAACCGGTGCACGGATCCGCAGATAAGATTTCCGGATGCAGCGGGACAACCGGCTATTACCGGAATTAATGCGCGGCTAAAAAGCTGATATCGGCAGCATCGACAGCTGCTCTCGTCTCGTTTGTAATACCGTCGGCGGACCTACGCATTTCGAGGCAAGCGCTGGGCAATCGTCGCTGAAACGATCGCGATGTTGCACAATGTCGCGTAATCGTGCGCTCTCGCGCTCGTGCCGTTTTCCAATCTTAGACAACTTCCACGCGTCTGTCGTATTTTCGATGTCGTGATGATGTTGTTTCTTGATATCTCGTAGACGATCTTCCTTATTAGTACTAGTTGTCGAACGAAACTTTCGCCGTTTGAGAGAAATTTCGCTTTGTTTTCCAATTTATTTATCTGTTTATTTGTAAAATAATAAACAAGCGGCAATTTTAATCCGAGATCGAGTGACACCAAAGTATTTAATCATTTCGTTAGGTATATTAGAGAGGCTGGATGTGAGGTTTCGAATCAAGTTCCAAGGAGAGAAAGGTCCCCGAGACAGATCTACAAGTTCCTGACAGAAGAAATCCCTGCAATAAATATTAATTTCATTGTTATTCATTGAAGCGCAGAGGAAGCAAATCAGAAGGAAGAAATTCAACGTTCTTTCCGCCAGAATTCCCACGAGAGAGTGATCTTAACGTTGGTGAACTTAACCTAACCTAAGGAAAAAATTGCGTCCCGAGCGCATCGCGAATTACTGTGATTTATAGTCGCGATCGATCGAAACACCACCATCGGTGGTTCCCAATTTCCAAACCAATTTGAACGAAATGGAAGACTCGGCGGTGGGTACGATACCTATTAGCGCATTGCCGACGAGAGTCACGATGGCGCAATCGATCGGTGATCGCCGAGTCAATAGATCGAGACGGTGCTGCGACGACATTCACGAGGCTACGCTTACGCGATGTTACGTCACCGCGTTCCGTTCCTTTAACGGAACGAGCGCATCGGTCTCGCAGCATTCAGGTGGAAAAATGGTGTACGTCCATCCAGATGATCTATCGGTGAGCACGACCTACGGACCTCTGGTTCGTTCTAGTTTCATCTAAACGATAACACGGACCTCGCTTATTTTCGCCTCGCGGCCTTCCTCGAACTCGACCTCACTCGATATCCCCTCCGCCTCCGCGTCGCGTCGCGTCGCGTCCTCGTCCTCGACCGATGCTTGAACACTATTCCCCAGAAGCCGCAATTGCCCCGCAGTTGCTATTCGTTCCGAATATTGGATATCGACCGCGCTTCCCGATGGATCACGTCGTTCAGATGTCTGTTTATTACAGAGAAGGTGGCAGCCACCTCCTCTGTAATGAGCGTGCTAGATTCGGACTTAGAATCTTGAATCGATAGTTCATTTAACTTTCGCGTTGCCGTAAGCATTGGTCGAACAGTCTCCGGCGCAGTAAGTTCTCTCGGCAAGTAAGTACGATCGATTTTAACCTTGTCTCGATAAACTTCTCTCGGCATTTCCATGTGCGTGGATCGATCGAACGTCGCACGTTGACAAAATCGTTGTCATTATGACCGACAAACGCGACAAGAAATGAACGAAGCAAATTCTAATAAATAAATATATATATATATATATACGTTCAACGGCAGAATGCGGCAGCTTCATATTTATCAGTTGCATTGTTTCAAAATTCAACTGATTCAAAATTGTCTTTTTTTTTTTCTTTTTGTTGATGTCGGTCGCACGATATTTACAATAGAGTAGAGAAACGTGAAATAAATGAGCCGACATCGCCGAAGATAAATTGGAAAAATTAATCGTTATCGATTAATTAATTGATCGTTGTGGATAGGTGTTGATTGACTCGATACTGCTGAATTATCGTCCGATCGATTTATCACTTTCTACAGGTAGCAAAAACACAGTCATTAGAACTATCGATACATAGATGATTATATTTATAATGAGTAATACATATTTTATTAATATTTAATATTGACATTTAGTTACTTTCGTAAGTAACATATACTTTCGTTAATATTTAAAACGTCTTACAATAACATCATCGCTGTGCGTCGAAAAATCCGACAAAGAACCTGCATATCCTAAAAATTGTCCAAATTCAAATATCAACTGAAGGAAACATTACTTGGAACGAAACCAGCTCGACAGTATGTCATTTGACAGTCATGTAAGCTCTCTCTCCAATTCTTTTAGAATAGAAAGAGCTATACTTACTTAATTCATTTCTTCATACTTTATTCGTTACTCGAACTTTAACACTAGAACTATCCTCAGAGGTGGTCTAAAATGGACTAATTCGTCATTCTTGTTAGATATGTCATAGATGATAAACATTTCACACAGTTTTTCTATTCCTTTCACTTTAATATGAACATCTTAGATTCTGGAGTATCGAATCACAGTTAAAGTCACGCTGAAAAAGTGGTGCGTTAAGACGTGGCCCTGCGCCGCAGTTCTTTCTCGCTGCAATTCTCGTCGTTCAATTCAACCAAATCCCACACTTAGTTCGCAAACAATCTCAGAATTTCGCTAAATCGCGTCCACCCACGTGACCGATCGTTCTCAATTGCCGATAGCGCGTGTCCGCATTCCGACGTCCTACACGCTCGAGCCAGCTCTGGTGTCCAGAGGCACCAAGGGCCCGCTCGCCTACGAACCGCGCTCGTCGATAAGAGAAACGACTTTCCCCTTGTCTATTTTCAGCTACGAAGCCAAGAAAAAAAAAAAAAAAAAAAAGAACGAAGTCCTGCTGGCACCTTTTTGCGCCTTACGGGCAACTTTTCAATCCACGATTCCGATTATTATTATTCGAAAACAGGCAGC